CGATAACCTGTTCGTCTCTTTGAGCTGGATTTCGCGGAGCCAACTCCAGCCCATAGACTTTGCACCGGGCAGTGATGTATTAGCCGTTAGCGCGCCGAGTTATGAGTCTATTTATCGGGTGCATGATGATGACACGAATGATGAAGCACAGCAGGGAGCGTGAAAGAAAGAGAAAAAAGATAATGTAAAACCGGACAGAAAAGCCCGGGAGACACACACCAAGTTCTATGACGGCGATAACACGTGGAATGATTCAGTGACCACACGACAGCGACCGGACTGAGCTCCAGGGAAAGGATGAGCTCACAGCCTCAGAATGTGTTAGTCCTGATAATGTCTGTCTGGTCTTACCATGTGTAAACTCTGGTCCATGGTCATTTCCTACATGTAGTTTATGCTTAAGTCTTGTAAATAGTGTATTCTTGTCTGAATTATGTCTAATGTGTCAACAATATAATGTTAGTCTGGAATTATGTTTAATCTGTCTGGTATTTTTGTAATGTTCATGTTTTTTAGCGCATTTTTATGTATTTGGCTTTTTAACGTCATGGCCAGAGGACTTCAGATGAAAAATAATCCTTGGCTAATTTTGGCTTTTTCTTAATCATGTGTTTTATTAAATTGCATTGTCCTCTTTGATATGAACTGAAACATAGATGCATGGTCCAAAAGGGGCGGAGACCAAAGTCCATAAAAGCTGAGTTTCCTGGATCATCACCTCTGTCTCTTTACTCCTTTAAACAAGAGTCCAACAGATTCAGACGTTGACAGTTAAGAACGGTCCAGTTAAAACCTTTGCCCGTGTTTTCCACCACAAAAGTCATTTCTGTGGCACGTTGAAGCAAAAGGTCGAGTCGTACATCAAATTGAGCTGCAATAAGAACCAGCTTGGGCGACTTTGAACGCTGCTATTTCCAGACATTCTACTAATTACAACAAACGCAATATGGGTTTCTCCGCTTCCCAAAAACACGGCGTAGGTAGAAAATTATGAGCGGCGAAGATTTATGACGGAGCAGATTCTGGAGAGAGATGAAGAGATGTAATACGCCTTGGGTTTAATAGGACGGATGTGATTTCCCTTCAAACTATTGTAAAAGTGTTCGTGAGCAGGAAGCCACGGCGGTAAATGAGAGAATAAAGGAATCCATCAAGGGCTTTTCTTTTTTTCTGTGAATGTTCCCGAGACTCGAGAGGGAGAAAGTAATTAAAAAGAAAGCAATGGATCCGGGCGTTTGACAGAGGGTTTAAGAGCTGTCCCTAAAGGCTCAGGAACAGGAAGGACAGAGGTTTGTCTGACGACGGAGTGAGAAACCCTCCTGTTTGTTACATTGTTGTTCACAAAGTTCACAAAATGTTCACAAAGAAAGAAACGTTTTCCAGATTCAAAAATAATCAGTTTTTTTGCAATTCGAACCAATTCCATTCATTTTTGTAGGGCCCTAAATCACAAAGGTTGTTTTATCAGAGGACCCACTCTCTTGTCTCTCTCTGGTCTCTCTCTCTGGTCTCTCTCTGGTCTCTCTCTCTGGTCTCTCTCTCTGGTCTCTCTCTGGTCTCTCTCTCTGGTTTCTCTCTCTGGTCTCTCTCTGGTCTCTCTCTAGACTCTCTCTAGACTCTCTCTCTGGTCTCTCTTTCTGGTCTCTCTCTCTGGTCTCTCTCTCTGGTCTCTCTCTGGCCTCTCTCTCTGGTCTCTCTCTGGCCTCTCTCTGGTCTCTCTCTGGCCTCTCTCTGGTCTCTCTCTGGTCTCTCTCTCTGGTCTCTCTCTCTGGTCTCTCTCTCTGGTCTCTCTCTCTGGTCTCTCTCTGGTCTCTCTCTAGACTCTCTCTAGACTCTCTCTCTGGTCTCTCTTTCTGGTCTCTCTCTCTGGTCTCTCTCTCTGGTCTCTCTCTGGCCTCTCTCTGGCCTCTCTCTGGTCTCTCTCTGGTCTCTCTCTCTGGTCTCTCTCTCTGGTCTCTCTCTCTGGTCTCTCTCTGGTCTCTCTCTCTGGTCTCTCTCTCTGGTCTCTCTCTCTGGTCTCTCTCTCTGGTCTCTCTCTGGTTTGGTAAAAGCCAAACAACCTTAGCTAAACCGTCTGCGTTAGCGAGTTCTGAGCCTGTAATAATTTAAATGCTTCAAGTAGATTAGACAGAGAAACGAAGGTGAAATGATCAAAAAGACTGAAAAAGAAGCAATTTAATTTCAAGTCCCCACACTCTAACTCTCACTGCAGCCATTCACAGCTCACTCCTACACAACAACAGACCGAGACTTAAACAGGTCCAAGGGCCGGACTCTGTGGAGCCTGGTCTGTCCCTGGACCTACTGAACAAGATCTGCATAAGATCTACACTCCAGGATCACGGCCCGCCTGCCTTCGATCTGATCACACACACACGCGCACACACACACACACACAGACGCGCACGCACACACACACACACACACACACACACACACACACACCTTAAATCAGTCCCTTAGCAGGATTGACCATTTGGATTAAACATGTTTGACCATGTGCACTGCAGAAATATTATACAATATGAGGTAATAAATCCTTAAATTGAGTCATTCTTCATTCTTAATGAGAGTAATTCTAACTGTGTTAACATCAGATTCTACAATGGGACTAAGACATTTCTCATATCTCCTTAAAACAAGATCATTTTGCCCCATTGGGTAATCTGTTTTTTTTGGTCAGAATGTGCTCAAATGAAGACACATGTTGCCAAATTTGAGCCATTTCACAAGAAAGTACAAAAAAACAATTGTCTAAAAAATTAAATTTACGAACAACTGCAAGATCACACTACTCCCTCCTCTCCAATCTCGACGCTAAATCCCTCTCCCGCCTCCAACTGGTCCAGACGCAGCAGCCAGACTTCTCACTGGTTTTAACAGAAGGGAGCACATCACCCCTGTTTTAGCGTCCCTCCACTGGCTCCCTGTGCGTTTTAGAATTGATTGTAAGATTTTACTGATTACTTTTAAAGCTCGTTTAGGTCTGGCACCAAGCTATATTTCTGAACTTTTAACCCCCTACGAGCCCCCCCGCTGCCTTAGATCCTCGGGCAGGTCCCTGTTGACTGTTCCAAGGTCGAGGCTCCGGACAAAAGGTGACCGAGCCTTCTCTGTCCGGGCTCCTCGGCTTTGGAACAACCTGCCCGAGGAGATAAGGCTAGCACCATCAGTATCCTCTTTTAAAACACTTAAAACCCACTTTTATCAAACAGCTTTTAACTGTTAGTTTTAAACTTCACATGCTGTATTTTATTGTCTGCTTTGTCTTTGTTGTGTCTCTTTTGTGTTTTGCTCTGTTTGCTTTGTGTTTCTGTATCTAATTATTTTGACCTTGCATTATGACTGTTTTTATTGTTTATCATGCTGACTGTACAGCGCTTTGTAAACACTGTTTTTAAAAGTGCTATACAAATACAGATTATTATTATTATTATTACTGTGAATGGACTTTGAACATTGATCTAGTCACATATTGAGTTTTACCAGCACAAAACAGCAAACGGCTTTGAATAATCCTTTCTTTCTCCTGTCGTCTTCTAACCAACTTTCTGCCCGTCCTGCATCTCTCCCCAGAGCCAGCCTCCTCCCTCTCCTTGTATCTGTCACCGACCCCCCTCTGACGTCTGGAGTGGACGCCCCGCCTGTGGATCTCAGCTCTAACAGTGCGCCCCGCTGTGATAATCTGCAATAAGCCATCTGCACAGCCCCTCGCTGCTTCTCACGCTCCAACTCTGCCGTCTACACACACAACATCAGCCATAAAACACCCGCGATCAGGTCCAACTGGCTCGGGACGCAACAGAGAGACCATAACCAGTTTTATTACACGTGAAGGTGAGGACTTTAAAATAATTATGTCTTCACCGTGGGCTGTATAGAAATTGATGATAGTGACTGCCTCAATCAATGGACTCACATGAACAACTCAACAGATCTGGCTCAATAACCGTTTGTGTCACACTCAATTCGGGCGTAGAACTTCTGTGGTTTAGCGCTCTGTGATCCTGCTGTTTACATTTGGTTATCCTCTTTGAAAACTTTTATGTAAATAGCACAGTTCATACAGAATGCAAAGTACCAAAAGAAAATTTAAAAAGAAATATATGTTTACATCAATAATCAAATGATCCGTTTTTAAGCCTGGACCTGAATAAAAGCCAGATATGAGCCAAACGTATTGACCAATGAGACGCCTTTGTTCTCAGGGAAAGTCCAGCTCGGCTTAGTGGCCACGTCTGCCCCGGTTTACGGCACAAAGCTAACTCTATTATAACAAACACCAAGGACATTGGCTCCAGCTATGGTCAAACTAGCTTCTTCCACAGTCGACAAACTCCAGGGGTTACGTCAGCGAATGTCAGTCCGCTCCGGTCTACGGCTACTTGTGTGTGTTGAATATTTCCATAATTTAGAGTTAGGGTGAACCTGGAGGGGTAGCAGGAAGGAGACTCAGGCCGAATGCAGGTGAACTCAAAACCACAGAAGAGAAGACGGTAATAATAAATAATAATAACATCCAACTTTATTACAGACTCATGGTCCAGGATAAAACAACAATTACAACTCATCATTTTTTAATTGGTTCCTTTTGAGACACACAGGGACACCTTTCAAATAAAAACATCACAAAATATGAAATATAGAGAGAATTATTTCAGCTGTATAATAACTGTACTACTAACTTGCCCGCGTGGGTTAGGGCCAGGACTAGGGTCAGGGCGTTCACCCAATAGCACTTAGCTGTTCATTAGTGAGGGCTAATCTCAGGTTAGTTTCAGTTCATCATTATATTTCAGACATTAATGACAAATTCAAAAACATTTTCAGGCACAAAAAGGTCAAAATATGGTCTGAAAAAAGAATAGGCAGAAGCTAGGGCTCATAAACGCCTACTGTATACGTCTACGTTCAACTACACAGCTGCTACACACAACAAAAGAATACATATACTCCATTATTGTCAGCTCAAAAATCTAAATCTAAAGTTACCAAATATTTTACCGGAGAGCATCGGCACCCAGACACGACCGAACTACCAGAGAGTAAAGAAACCCTTCCAAATCCTAAGAATCCCAGACCCAGGATGTTGCAAAGCTTACCGTGTTTTCTTCTTCTACAGCTACAGCCGACGGTGCAAACAAAATTAAGTCTTTTCCCAAGAGACAGTTTGAACCATTTACTGGGCTCCTCTTTGGTCATGGCTCCGGCTACGTCACAACCGTGGAGCACTTTCGGGTTCTCCCAGTTCTGGTGCTGAGCCGAGACCCAGTCCCCATTGACCCACATCCACTGCTCAAAGAAGCAGGCGTAGGCCAATCCGATCCAGGTGTAGTCCGTTTGGGCCTGGTTCACTGGCTCCTGGACCATCCTCTGCTGGTGCTGGTTGGTTATCGTGGCAAACTCGCCGTGGTGTGTTCTGCAGTGAATCAACGCCTCTTCGAACGTCTTCTGCTCTTGGACTAAAACCATGTGATCTGTCGGACACAAATGTTAAATGAACTGTACTTTTAAGGATTCAGATTGGGTTATTTGCTGTAAAATATAGATAGATATATTATTGATCCACGTAAGAGAAATTCAGGTTCAGTAGTAGAAAAATTAAAGAATAAAATTAATATTGTTAGCTTTTGAGAATGATCAAAGGAGCCAAAGTCCCCAGTGTGCGCAAGAAAAAATATATTTATTAAAACAACTATCGTCATCTTGAAATCGATCCAGAAAAAGTTAGAGTTTTGTACCAGGAGCTGGAACTCGTGTATGGATTTGATTGCATGTTATTTTTTCATGGTTTCAGAGTTAGCTACTTCAAGTTAGCATTTTTTCACATTCTAAAACAGGAAACTCAAAGTAAATAGTCTCATAATTGTAATGGCCAAATAATGGATAATACTTCTTCTTTAAAAACAACTTGAGAAAATAAGTAATCTTTATTTATATATTGATATTATGAATGAATGAATGAATGAATGGATTATTAGTACATAACGTAAAAGAAAGTTTATTAATCAATCAAAGGTGAAGCAGAAACCTACCGTCGAAGCAGATGAAGGGATGAAGAGCAGAACAATCTGAGCCGGACTGAAGTGTGTCATTATGAATCTTCATGCATGAACAGAACTGATTCACCGACTGGACATTGGTACAGGCCGATCCACCAAGCGAGGTCTGAACCCATGACTCGAGTCTTGTTTTTGAAGCTCTCATCATTTATTTGCTCGTGGCCTGTGACCAGATCCGTGTTTTTCTTTTGGCAGGTTTTCCGAGCCTCGCACCAGGTCTTCATTTCCGTCTCTGGCTCGTAGCGATATTGAGAATCATGATCTGAGTAAATAGACAGATATTGACAAACATGAAATGGAAGTTTAGTTATAACGGTGATAAAACATGTGGCCATATCCTGTGTACAAACGGACAATGCTAACCCGCTAGCTCAATGAAGCATCCACTTGTCGAGTTATAGCTATCTCCTGTGCTACCCTGAAAAGTAGAATAAAAACACCTTAAATTAGGGTCTAAAAGGAAATGACCCAGGGCTGGACACATTAGAAAAAAATTGTCAAAATTCAGCTGAAAAAACAATATTTAGGGTATCTTTTTAACACTTTGGCGGGGAAATTTGACCCAACACAAGGGGGGACACTGGTTTATGGTCAAAATAGATGAAGGTGAATGAGTCTCGGAAGCTAACGGTTTAGCTAACGCCTCATCATTAAATCTTGTGTCCAGTTAAAACAGTCGTCTCTCCGCTACATAACAACATTAAAACCTGCAGGTTATAGTCAAGTGCGGCCTGTGTATGGACAGTACAGAAAAACAAAGTAATGTGTCTGTAAAATGGAAGAAATGATGCATTTTGTACCTGAAAAGCAGAAAAACCGGCTTTTTGTTCCGCAGGATTGACTGTACAGACAGTTCCTCTTCACTGTTGTTGTGGTAACTGACAAAAGCACAGTCTCCTCCATTGTCTTGTCTACTTTCTTTCCAGGCTGCTTTACTTTTGTTATATTTGTATTTATCATTAATCCATTTCCACTGTGCGCCCTGCTGCTGCCCATGGTCCTGCTGCTGCCCATGGTCCTGCTGCTGCCCATGGTCCTGCTGCTGCCCATGGTCCTGCTGCTGCCCATGACCCTGCTGCTGCCCATGACCCTGCTGCTGCCCATGGTCCTGCTGCTGCCCATGACCCTGCTGCTGCCCATGGTCCTGCTGCTGCCCATGGTCCTGCTGCTGCCCATGACCCTGCTGCTGCCCATGACCCTGCTGCTGCCCATGGTCCTGCTGCTGCCCATGGTCCTGCTGCTGCCCATGGTCCTGCTGCTGCCCATGACCCTGCTGCTGCCCATGGTCCTGCTGCTGCCCATGACCCTGCTGCTGCCCATGGTCCTGCTGCTGCCCATGGTCCTGCTGCTGCCCATGGTCCTGCTGCTGCCCATGACCCTGCTGCTGCCCATGGTCCTGCTGCTGCCCATGGTCCTGCTGCTGCCCATGACCCTGCTGCTGCCCATGGTCCTGCTGCTGCCCATGGTCCTGCTGCTGCCCATGGTCCAGTCTGACCCAGGCCTCATCACAGCCTTGTTTTCGTGGACAGACGGAGGTTGCGTTGGTCTCATTGTGGACTAAGGCCAGCCCTGTGTAGTGCTCTCGGCAGAACTCTTCGGCTTCAGACCAACTTTTACGATATTCAAAGTAGTGGTACACATGACGCACTTGACCCACAGAGAGCCAGCAGGCGTCTAAAACACAAAATAGAGCGATTTTGTGAATTGGGAAAACATTTGAGTCAATAAAGAGTATCGGGAAACTCACGGATCAAAAGAAGCAGCAGAAAAGTCCAGCGCATCGTGAACTGAAAGCACAAGTTAATTTAAATGTGCAATATCACAGGGAAATCATACGGGGCACTGATAATAACACAATGTGTTACGGATGTAAAAACTCTCACACGGTACACACTTTTATAACCACCTGAACTCACGACGAAGAGAGAGAGAGACCAGAGATATCAAATCTGCTGGATATAGGTTTGAGGGATAAAGAAGTACCAGAGAGAGACTAGAGTAAGACTAGAGAGAGACTAAAGAAGGAGACCAGAGACTAAAGAAGGAGACCAGAGAGAGACTAGAGGGAGACCAGAGACTAAAGAAGGAGACCAGAGAGAGACTAGAGGTAGACCAGAGAGATACCAGAGAATGAGACCGGAGAGAGAGACCAAAGAGAGACCAGAGAGAGACTAGAGGGAGAGACTAGAGGGAGAGACTAGAGGGAGACTAGAGAGAGACAAGAGGAGAGACTAGAGAAAGAGACTAGAAGGAGATCAGAGAGAGACTAGAGAAAGAGACCAGAGACAGACTAGAGGTAGACCAGAGAGATGCCAGAGAATGAGACCGGAGAGAATGACCAAAGAGAGACCAGAGAGAGACTAGAGGGGAGACTAGAGGGAGACTAAAGAAGGAGACCAGAGAGAGACTAGAGGGGAGACCAGAGAGAGACTAGAGAAAGAGACCAGAGATAGACTACAGGTAGACCAGAGAGATGCCAGAGAATGAGACCGGAGAGAGAGACCAGAGAAAGAGACAACAGAGAGATACAAGAAAGACCAGCGGGAGACCAGAGAGAGATCGTGTTAGTCCTTTGAACTAATCACCGCGTTTCTCCTGGCTTTAAATAAAGATATCTATCATGTTATTCTAGCGTTGCATGTTATATATGATGTTTTTAACGTACACACACTGTAAAAAACTAGACTACCCACACAAATACAGTGAGGACACAAAAGGCCACTTTACAGTCGGGGACCACTGCACTGTGAAGATATACGGAAATATGAGAAAAGTACTCACCTGCCTTCTCTGCAGAAGATCTGTTTGAGTATCTCACAAACAAACCTCTCCTTAAATACAAATATCTTGCTTATAATTTACGTACGCAAACAAAAAATATCCAAATCGAGTCCGAGCGAGTTACTTCCCCTTGGATCATATCAGCAGCTTATCTCAGGTTTATGAAAATACCTGCGCAACCATGAAAACGGGAAGTAAAAAAGTCTGTACTCGATTGTGTTCGATGCAAAACAGGGAGAAAGAACGACATCATAAAAACAAGCTGGAGATAGAGCTTCTCTGGGTCGTGTTTGTGGAGCTGCGAGCCCTCTCACAGATACATGTTTTTATACTTTTTCAGTGTAAAGAAATAGTCACAGGCTGAAATTTGAGTCTATTGTTTTTGGGTAGAAAAGAAACCAGATGTGGGTTTACTTCCGTAGACCCTATATTGTGACATCACCGCTCATTAAAAGCAGCAGAAGCAGCTTTCTTCAGACCATCCATCACAACCATTCTTTCTTTCAACGCAAATAGACTCAAAACAAGTCCTTAAAACCCTCAGTTAGTCTGTGTTGCCAAATACTAAAACAAATTGAACTTTAGAAAAACCTATTACTTCCCTGAACTACTGCCAGACAACTTTGTTCATCCATGCGACTCAATGAGCTTTAAAGAACTGGCACTCAATCTATATAAAGTAAGAAACCATATGCATTTAAATACGTTTTACATCAAGGTCACAGCTTCCCCCGGTGGAATAAATCCTCATTAATTAACCAATCAGCTCGCGGGCTACTTTACAATCTCTGGGCGGCGTGTACTCGAGGTGGCGTGTTATACCAAACGGGACATGATGGAAACATCTGCATGAAGTTAAGAGGACAGTGCAGAGTCGGCAGGAACAGCCTCCAGACTATAAACGCCATTGATTTTATATCAGGGTCTGAGCAGCAGGGGAGAGGATAGGCCTGGGTAAGAGAGAGACTAGAGAGAAACTAGAGAGAGACCAGAGAGAGACCAGAGAGAGACTAGAGAGAGACTAGAGAGAGACCAGAGAGAGACTAGAGAGAGACCAGAGAGAGACCAGAGAGAGACCAGAGAGAGACTAGAGAGAGACCAGAGAGAGACGAGAGAGACTAGAGAGAGACCAGAGAGAGACTAGAGAGAGACCAGAGAGAGACAAGAGAGAGACTAGAGAGAGACCAGAGAGAGACTAGAGAGAGACCAGAGAGAGACGAGAGACTAGAGAGAGACTAGAGAGAGACTAGAGAGAGACCAGAGAGAGACCAGAGAGAGACCAGAGAGAGACTAGAGAGAGACTAAGAGAGAGACCAGAGAGAGACTAGAGAGAGACTAGAGAGAGACTAGAGAGAGACAGAGAGAGACTAGAGAGAGAGACTAGAGAGAGACTAGAGAGAGACCGAGAGGGACGAGAGAGAGAGACTAGAGAGAGACTAGAGAGAGACTAGAGAGAGACTAGAGAGAGACTAGAGAGAGACTAGAGAGAGACTAGAGAGGACTAGAGAGAGACTAGAGAGACAGAGAGAGACTAGAGAGAGACTAGAGAGAGACTAGAGAGAGACTAGAGAGAGACTAGAGAGAGACTAGAGAGAGACTAGAGAGAGACTAGAGAGAGACTAGAGAGAGACTAGAGAGAGACCAGAGAGAGACTAGAGAGAGACAGAGAGAGACTAGAGAGAGACTAGAGAGAGACTAGAGAGAGACTAGAGAGAGACTAGAGAGAGACTAGAGAGAGACTAGAGAGAGACTAGAGAGAGACTAGAGAGAGACCAGAGAGAGACCAGAGAGAGACCAGAGAGAGACTAGAGAGAGACTAGAGAGAGACTAGAGAGAGACCAAGAGAGAGACCAGAGAGAGACTAGAGAGAGACTAGAGAGAGACTAGAGAGAGACTAGAGAGAGACTAGAGAGAGACCAAGAGAGACTAGAGAGAGACTAGAGAGAGACTAGAGAGAGACTAGAGAGAGACTAGAGAGAGACAAGAGAGAGACTAGAGAGAGACTAGAGAGAGACTAGAGAGAGACTAGAGAGAGACTAGAGAGAGACAGAGAGAGAGACTAGAGAGAGACTAGAGAGAGACTAGAGAGAGACTAGAGAGAGACTAGAGAGAGACTAGAGAGAGACTAGAGAGAGACTAGAGAGAGACTAGAGAGAGACTAGAGAGAGACTAGAGAGAGACTAGAGAGAGACTAGAGAGAGACTAGAGAGAGACTAGAGAGAGACTAGAGGAGATCCGAGAGGACGAGAGAGAGACTAGAGAGAGACAGAGAGGGACTAGAGAGAGACTAGAGGAGACTAGAGAGAGACTAGCGAGAGACTAGAGAGAGACTAGAGAGGGACTAGAGAGAGACAATAGAGAGAGAGACCAGAGAGAGACCAGAGAGAGATCAGAGAGAGACTAGAGAGAGACTAGAGAGAGACAAGAGAGAGACCAGAGAGAGACTAGAGAGAGACTAGAGAGAGACTAGAGAGAGACTAGAGAGAGACTAGAGAGAGACTAGAGAGAGACTAGAGAGGACTAGAGAGAGACTCCGAGAGGACAGAGAGACAGAGGACTAGAGAGAGACTAGAGAGAGACTAGAGAGAGACCAGAGAGACTAGAGAGAGACTAGAGAGAGAGAGACTAGAGAGAGACTAGAGAGAGACAGAGAGAGACTAGAGAGAACAAGAGAGACCAGAGAGAGACTAGAGAGGGAGTAGAGAGAGACTAGAGAGAGACTAGAGAGGGAGTAGAGAGAGATCCGAGAGGGGAGAGAGAGAGAGACTAGAGAGAGACTAGAAAGAGACCGAGAGGGGCGAGAGAGAGACTAGAGAGAGACTAGAGAGAGACTAGAGAGAGACTAGAGAGGGAGACTAGAGAGAGACTAGAGAGAGACTAGAGAGGGACTAGAGAGGGACTAGAGAGAGGCTTGAGAGAGACTACAGAGGGACTAGAGAGAGACTAGAGAGAGACTAGAGAGAGACTAGAGAGAGACTAGAGAGGGACTAGAGAGAGACTAGAGAGAGACTAGAAAGAGATCCGAGAGGGGCGAGAGAGAGACTAGAGAGAGACAAGAGAGGGACTAGAGAGAGACTAGAGGGAGACTAGAGAGGGACTAGCGAGAGACTAGAGAGAGACTAGAGAGGGACTAGAGAGACAATAGAGAGAGAGACCAGAGAGAGACTAGAGAGAGACCAGAGAGAGACCAGAGAGAGACTAGAGAGAGACAAGAGAGAGACCAGAGAGAGACCAGAGAGAGACCAGAGAGAGACTAGAGAGAGACCAGAGAGAGACTAGAGAGGGACTAGAGAGAGACTAGAGAGAGACCAGAGAGAGACCAGAGAGAGACCAGAGAGAGACTAGAGAGAGACCAGAGAGAGACTAGAGAGAGACTAGAGAGAGACCAGAGAGAGACTAGAGAGAGACTAGATAGGAACAAGAGCGAGACCAGAGAGAGACCAGAGAGGAGTAGAGAGAGACTAGAGAGAGACTAGAAAGAGATCCGAGAGAGGGCGAGAGAGAGACTAGAGAGAGACTAGAGAGAGACTAGAGAGAGACTAGAGAGGGAGACTAGAGAGAGACCAGAGAGAGACTAGAGAGAGACTAGAGAGAGACTAGAGAGAGACTAGAGAGAGACTAGAGAGAGACTAGAGAGAGACTAGAGAGAGACTAGAGAGGGACTAGAGAGAGACTAGAGAGAGACTAGAAAGAGATCCGAGAGGGGCGAGAGAGAGACTAGAGAGAGACAAGAGAGGGACTAGAGAGAGACTAGAGGGAGACTAGAGAGAGACTAGAGAG